GAAGAGATCCATTTTAAGCCGAGAATAAAGTTGGCGAGAATTACTATGAATATATATTGGTACTTTTTAGCGGTTTTTGTAAATGACACACTAATATGTTATCTGAACGTTTCTGGGATGTCCGGCGCAGTCTTTCGACACAGCGTCGTTTTTGACGTTAAGCTATTTTTCATAAAATTTGCATTTACATCCTCTATCTTTCTCGCAGAATATATGCGCGTATTGTTTTCGCATCCGCCGTTTAAATGCTGGTTACGCGATAGAATATCCATCGCGATGTAAACAAATATAACAGCGGGTGTTAAATAAACATGGGTCGCGACAGGCGTTTCATCCAAGTGATTACAGAATTCGCGAATGTTGTAATTGCATGCGGATATTAGTCCAATGTCGGCGACCGATCGACGTATTGATTTTCGCGCAAGAGCGAACGAGACGACAAGGTAAACGATGAATCTGTTAATTGAAAGAGCGACCGGCCGACGGATGACGGATCCGAGAACCGTAATAGCTACTTCGTGCATGCTCCATTAACTCATTCGTTGATAGTGTCTGGTTGCTCGAGCTCATCGCGATATCGCGACATTAAATGCGAAATCGGGAGAGAGATGAACATGCATGTAAGTATCGCACCATCGCAACCACGATTTATTACAAAGCAGTCAAGTCTCTCCCTGTCGTCTTTGCTTTAAAACGTACGGTGGCTAAGTCAATTTATACGACGTTAAATAGAAATTACTAGCTGTACGTGATAAAGGGCTGTACCTAAGTGGTAGAGATTTATTTAACGACGATACGGGGAAAGCGAGAGTGAATAGAGAAGATTGAGAATGAAAATGAACCTCATTGATACGCGCGTTACTATACTAAATATGAAAATGGAGGATTCTTTGTTTAGAATTTCCAGCCTACCGCCTCTTCTTCGGGACTAATGCCGATCGTGCCCGGGCCCGGCGCGGAATTCGCGGACTTCGGCAACCGTGATTTACTTTTTGGTCTGACGTCCGATGAAGCTTGGGTGAATCTCACCGAGGAAGATTTACAGGTAAGTGGGATTCGCAATCGTTACGCTCGTTCGGAAAAAAAAAAAAAAAAAACAAAACCGCGTAAAAGAAAATACAAAATACAGTAATTACACAGTGGTACATCCTTTTTATTTGGATCTCTGGTTTTTCTTGCAAACTTCTCGGTTTCCAGATTACAGTTCCATGCTTTCGTGATACCTTTGTTAGAAGAATAAAAAGCTTCGAACTTCTTGATCTGTTTTTCTCCGTTGCTATTATTGGTCATACTTTTTATATCGATTTTATCAAGAAAATTTATATTAGAGCGGAAGTAATTCCTTGATTAATGACCGGACACTTCACGCATAATATGTAATTGACATCGATTGGATACAGTTTGACAAATTGACGAGCTGCACATGATTGCACTGCAAGTCTGTGTTCGCCAATCGTTCCGGATATTATTGACTCTCCGATGGTCACGGCCACTGGGTATCGCACTATAATAGCATGCTCCTGTTTTACGATCGTGATCAAATTAATAATCCGTACACAGATATATGGTATATATCAGCGGAAATATCATTCGATTATATTCGTAAGATCTCTCGGCGATTTTCCATGAATGATCGATAGTACAAAGCTGGTATCGAAAGATTATTTCACAAATTGCGACAAATTCGTGACGCAAGGAAGCGTAATATTCACGTGCGCGTTTCTTCTGCGTCGCCGAAAAAAAACGGGCTAAAGTCTTACCGGTTCGCAGAACGGCTTGAACGAGACGAGGAGGGACCGTATATTGCGCACTTACGTCCGGAACACTTACCGGTACCATTTGCATGAAATCTATTCGACTCTCCGGAACGAGTATACCGACTGGGAGCGAGGCGAACAGAGTCCCGTGGCGATCTGCGAAGGTCTCTTATCTCTCCTCGGAGACGGCCAAGTCGCCGCGCCACTCCTCAGACTGGCCTTACTGCATTCGGCTTCGGAGGGACGTGGCTATTTCCTGCATTTCCAGCCGGGTGAGCTGCCGAGCCAGAGGGGCGAGGAGATACCATATCTCCTGGGTATTCCTCTTCTTCGCGGCGAAGTCACGTCCGCGGTGCCCACCTTTGGTAACTACACCCCAGCCGACGAGAATCTGTCGAAACTACTTGTACACTACCTGGCTAACTTCGTGAGGCGTGGGTAAGTCCTTCCCGCTTCTCTTTCATTCTCCGCGCCCGGTGATGAAATTAACGTCTGACCGCGTCCATTAAAGACAAGGGCGGTTTAAAATGAAAATCAAAATATTAACAGATAGATAAATAAATAAATAGATAGATGGAAGTTTATTGTAGCTGCGGTCAAAGTCTCACGCTACAAATGCTTTGAAACGCTTTCGATTGATCAATTAGAAGAAGGAACTTTTCAAATTGACCAATCGAAAAACGCTTTCAAGCATTTGTAGTGTATCATGTCGGTCGTATATCATTCCAGTGCAAGTTTTTTAAGAACAGCAATATAGAATGGCATAAAGGAAAAATTTGAAAAATAGAATGATGGAGAACATATAAGAAAAATGTATATAGAATACAGTGGTATAAGACACGAAAAATAAAATAAAATAGAAGCGAAAGAAAAAAAAACATAAGTAGCGAAAGAAAAGAGAATGAAATTAGATGGAAGTATGTTGCAGATTTTTTTTATTTCTTGATCTTAATCGACGAACTTAATTAATGAACATTTTCGAGAATATCGCGAAAAGTACTGTTTAATTAATACTCTGTTGAAATATGCGATTAACATTAATCGGCGACACTACGACGTGAAATAACTGGGCATATGGGCATGAAAGGGTTAATCGGATAAGTGAACCTTTCTCGTTAATTCACCCGATTCAAAGTTCTTCAGAACTTAAGCATCGCATACACTTCGATTACTCTCCAAGAGGGGAGTCTGAAGGCTGGTAATGGTAGTAAGGGTAAAGTTACAGCTGCGAGAGGATTTTGGAGCCAAACTCCCGCAAAGGCCGTTAACACGCTCAGCGAAAGCTCGCAATCTCGAAGTAGAGTAGACTTGTTAGCGGCGAAGACGCGAAGTGATTTTGGCATCTCTAATTGCGGATCGGCGGCTATCTAGATGATTACTCTGTCATCGACACGGCGGATTTTCACAATGGAATTCTGCCTGTGCACTGTCGTGAAATATTGCACCGTGAGCAGCGTGAGATGTTCGCTTCGGAGGCCTCAATTTTAGCTTTCGTCAATTTAGAAAAGCGTTTCAAATAATTTTGCTGCAAATAATAACAATTATAACGATATTTTAATAATTTTGTAAATAAACCACGATATCACTGTACAATTAATTGTATAAGAAAATAAACTGTATTGAATTTTGTGCGGCATTTTTTGAAATTGACTTTTTTTTTTTTTCGAAAATTGAACATTCAACAAGTTAGGAACGCAACGTAAAGCGCGAGAGAGAATATCAAGCCTCGCGGCAGTTTCAATCCATTTGTCAAAGAGTCGCGGTTCACTCGTTGTTCTAGGGATCCAAATGGCGCGAGTCCTTTGTCCTCGGGATTGGAAAACGGCCTGGCGACGAGTCCGCCGTTTTGGGACTCGTACGATTCCATAAATCAACTGTACTTGGAGGCCGCTCACAGCCCGGAGATGCGTTCGCACTACAGAGGCCACAAGATGTCCCTCTGGCTGAATCTGCTGCCGCAACTGCACCGGCCGGGTTACGAGCTCAATATGCGGCACCATCATCTCGCGGAGAACCCCGGTCTCTACGAGGGTCCGGTGCGTCCACAGAGCACGGCCGTGCCTATACCAGCACCTCCGTTACCAATGCCGTCACCCACGGAACCCTCCTCGATACTGACGGCGCTATCGACCACGGAATGCACCCCGAATGCGACCGTCGCGACGACCATCACGCCTACCACTTCGCGAACGTTGCACATCTCGAATCTAGGCCCGGGCCCCAACAACCTCCTGCGCAAACTTGCGTCCAGTCATTATCAGAGCTACACCACGGCTCTTACGGTCACTATCGCAGTGGGGGTGTTCTTGCTGTTGCTCAACATCCTGATCTTCGCGGGGATATACCACCAACGCGACCGGAACACAACCAGCGGCGGTCTGTCGGGCACTTTTAGCAACAAGAAGAAGGAGGAGTTTCTGGAGGCTGGTTGCTCCGGTATAGACACCTCGGGCAAACAGCGACTACCGTCTTCCATGAGCATGATCGACTCGCCGTCGTCGATGCTGCCACCGCACAAGGCGAAGCTCGTGCAGGAGCTCGAGTTACAATTGCAGGAGTTCCAGTGCTCACCGCCGCCCGGCGGTGGTAAACGGATCCTGGAACCGCCGTCCTACAGTAAGAGTCCGTGCATTCAGCGGACCCGCACGCCGTCGCCCTGCGTAGACGCCACTATCGCCCAGATGGATGAGGTCAATATCAGCGGCCTTCATCACGACAGCGAGGACGATAACGAGGACCTGCCGGAACCACCGCCTCCGCCCAAGGCTCCGGCACCGAACGTCGGTCTCACGTGCCCTGGAATTCTGCGGCAACCCGGGACACCTGGTAGTGCGAAGAAGCGCGTGCAAATTCAAGAGATCTCCGTGTGATAGAGTGCGGGATTCCGGTCTCTCGAGATCTTCTCTCTGACGCTGGAGGATGTGGTTCGCCGTGAACGAGGCGCGAGGACAGCATCGATCGAGATCGAGGGTATAGGTGAGGGGCGCCTTTGAACTCTGAACTTATTATCGGGAATACACTTGCCAAGGCGCGAGAGTCACGATCTTCTAAGTCATTGTCGAAGCTAATTTCGTCTCTCATAATCTCGTGAGATTATCACTTCCTTGTATTCCGTTTGAGAGAGAAGATAAATAGCACGTTCTCGCGCTTACGTGTTCGTGGAGTTTGATTAACTTGTGCGAGATGAAAGCGGGAGATCCCTTTCGCGTAAACGTTTGGCGGCCGTGTTAATATAAATTCTCTTCTCAAAACTGTTCTTGCTCTTAGAACTTATTACAGACTGTTAAACACATTACAGAAACGCGTTCAAGCTTACAATCCTTATTGTTGGAATGATTCTCGTCAGAAATGGATGCCAACATATGTATGTAGTTCGTTTCGCGATTGAAGAAAGTGAAACATAATTTTTACTCGCTCCGAACGGAGTTGTACAGTGCCGTGTGTGTGTGTGTGTGTGTGTGTGTGTGTGTGTGTGTGTGTGTGTGTGTGTGTGTGTGTGCGTGTGTGTGTGTGCGTGTGTGCGTGTGTGTGTGTGTGTGTATGCCCATATACAAGTCAGCGTTGAAAGTGTGTTTTATTTCGAGGGATTTTGTACCGAGTCCTTCGGCTGGTGATCCACATCGTGTAACACACAATTTGATGAACGCGCAAACGGGCATGTAAGCACATAAGAGAACATACAGGAGGTTCGTAGTAGTCCCTTTGTACCCGAGACGTGAATCTTCGTCCGTCCATTAGGGACGGCAACGTCTGGCGCTTGAAATTCACGGATCGGCCGACCCTTAGTTCACTGACTCTTTAGACGGGTCGGGCGGTCGTTGCGGCGCAAGTGTCGCGTAAACGGGGGATTGACGTAATCTCAGGAATAAAACGAATGCTAAAGACATCTCGCCACAAGCATACGCGATGTCCGTCATGGTGCTTCGGGCTAACTCAAGCCCGAAATCTTGCCATAACACTAAATGGAATTAATTGAGGAATTGGTAGTCTTGGGCTTCAACTTCTAGGTTCATAAGACGACGAGAATGATTAACTACTGACATGTACGTTCGCGCGAGAGAGTGTGTGTGCGTGAGACATAAACGAGAAGAATAAAAGAGTGAAAAGGAATGGGTGAAAAGGAGAGAGGATGTGGGGAAATATAGTGGGGAAGGAGAAACTCTGTGTGAAATGCTGGCTTTCGTTAGCGTAATTGGGCGTGTGTGCAGCTTTGTGCAAGGAATTAGAACATATTTGACACGAGATAGGGTTATATGGTTTAACGGCAACGGGGAGTACTTAAGAAGATACAGGTGGCTCTCCGGTAGTTGTTTCGAAAATTGTCGTTGTATAACGTGAAATTGCATTTGCGAAAAGTATTCTATATGCGAACTTTTAGCGTTCCATTGAGACGACCGCGTTATACACTCGAGACATTTTTACGATGTATACATTTGTCAGGAAGTATTGTGATACGAGTTTTCTTCGACTTTAATAGTCACCCCCGAAGGTAGGAGGAAGGGTAAAGTTGCGTTGTTTCCAAAAGTTATAAATTTGCAACAACTTTTTGATGACTGGCTATAAAAGGAAAGTGTAAAGGAAGTTTAGAAGAATTTCTACTTTCGACCAATTGGAAACTGGTCCACGTGTAAGCGCTTTGAATGATTCGTAATATGTCAATTTGACTTTGCATTCGGTTAAAGCTAATCTATTATTACACTTTTATTAGTTACTTAAATTTTTATTCGCTTTCATTTATTCACACAGACATCTTTTCTTTCAATAATTGAAAAATTACTGTTCATTTCCGGTCCCTTGATAGTAATAACAGAATTTATATACAAATTCAAATTTGTCATTGAGAGTCACCTGTATATTGTAAGTTTTCGTGCAATATTGGAAATATGGTAGTTGGAAGGCGAAAAGTATTTGGGTCCATCTTAATTTTTATGTTTTTCTTCGGGGTGCTTAGACGTATCGATCGGCCACTGATACACGATTAGTATTTTGAGTCTGATCGAATATGTTCAGTACTATTGATAAGAGTTATTTATTATAATCATTAAAAAATTGTTTATTATAAAATGGTCTAAGAGAATATATATATATCAAAATATATATTTAGCTCGTCTTTATGGAAGATTAGCTTGAAAGGGCGTTTAGGATCAAAATTTACCAAGTCTCAAGTCTGTGAAATATACTTTAAAAATCGCATTAGATATTGTTGCAAAATTTCCCAAAGAAATTGTTATTGAAGTATAAGTCGAACATTTTGTATGTAAAATAAAATATATGAGAATTCTTTGGAGGCTAGGCAAGTTTTGATCTTGGTTCGTTTCGTCAACGGAGCCTATAACGCTCTTCGGCGAAATGTAATTTAATAAAAAGTGGCAAGAATTGAATCTTGAATTGATAGTTCCAGGAAACAAGTCCGTCGCAAAAGTATCAGAGTACAGAGACGGACAAGCGCTGTCGTCGTAAGCACCCCTATGACCGTAAGACTTTTCGAGTAATTAAAGGAGAGAAACCACGCGATGGGTCATCTAAACTCCTAATTAACCTAGTCACGGAAAAACTTGCCATAATCGATTCGATTGCACTCGCGTGCGTTATCGTCTACTGGCAGGATGTTGATGATATTAAGGTATATCATCAAAGATGGGAGTGAAGAGAGTATCGCGCTATATATAAAATCGGGGAGCTGTTCGATCGATTCGCGAAATGCTGGGATAATAAACAATTGTTCGTTGATTTTGAATACGAATTTGGATCGTCAGGTTAGCTTTATTTGCATCGTAACTAAGGCTCAATGTCATTTGTGCGGCTAAAATTGAGCCCCGTGAGTATTCCTTACTGTCACCATTCCTTTCGTCTGCAAATTCTTCAGTTAAACGACTTCTTTTTTTGACCGGAATATATTGAGATTTAACTCTTTATAACATCAGGTAATTTGAAAGTTACCTATATATTTATATTTTTAAAAAGTGTTGTCTTATTAGTTTATCTCTCTGCATCATTGTGGGCTTCCATACTCAATAAAGATACTCGTACATTACAAGTTTTTGTATACTATTATCCATTGTTATACTTCAACATTACAAATAGTTCTTTTATAGTGAAATCTTTATAAATTAAGATTCAATAATTAATTATGTATATCCCATAATCAATATTTTCTATTTATTGCTTGTGCAATTTTCTTTTATAAGCGGAACATGTCAATTATAAAGAGTTAAATCATTCTTGAGTAGGAAATAATAAAAAAATGAATGATTTTTGACAAATCAAGATGCTAATTTGTAAAATTGTTAATTAATGCAGAAAACTTCATTCCTCAATACATTTAGAAAATTGTAAAAAAAGGAGATGTTTATAATTAGGATTTTGTTTGCGAGAAAAAATTGACTGCGATTTAATCGGAGAATCTGTAGATGAAACAAACGGCGGTACTTGCATGAATACACATACAGAAATAACGAAAAGGAAGACACTATGGACATAACATAGACAGTCAAAGGCAAATTGACACGCTGCCATAATCTATCTTGTGTCCATAGAAAGCGCACAGACACAAAAGACATACCCATACGTATATACAACTATCAATGTTTGGAATGTTGGGATTTGTTTAAATAAATACTTAAAGATTCAAAACGTAACTCTCCGATGGCGTTCTAATTTTGCGTGTGTCCTATGCCTTTCCTATCGCCTCCTTAGTTTTATAAGCTAAATGAAATTTCATCTGTAATCTTTGTGAATTATTGAAGCAATTACGTACAATATAAATAAAATCGCAATGATTAATTCAAGCTTCGAAGTTCCATTCTTTATGCAGGATGATCCAAACTGAAAAATTATAAATGGAAGTCAGATCGACAAGAATCAAGTAAGAGAAAGAATCCTATTTTGGTCAAAGCGAATTTTAATGCTTAATAATATTTATGTTGTAGTAAATCTACAGATTTATTGCAAATACATTTTCAGTTCTATAAATTGCGTGCTGATTTGGTTTACTGAACTTGAAACGCAATCATAAATTGGAGCCTAAAATAACATCACAAATTACTTTGATCTTTAACTCAATTATGATGCTAATAAGGGTCTTAAGGCATTGGTAAGATGCTCGTCCTATAAAATCGAGAATTTCAGATTCAACCCATGGCTAAGGTGATGTTTTTCGCAATAAGTTTTTGCAATATTTTAAGATGCTTATTAGCATTATTATTAATTGGAAATCAATGTAATTTGTGATAGTATTTCCAGTTTCAGTTTATTGCGTTTTGAATTCAACTGAATATGTAAGCATCCGCTTCGGTCAAAAATAGATTTCTTTCTCTTATTTCATTTATTCTTGTCGATCTATTTTGTACTTACAATTATTCACAGAAAATTTCTATAGATACTATTGTAAGTTCATTGCTATTTTCCACTTCGATCGAAAATAGAATTCTATTTCTGTGAATGTTTTTATCAGACGTACCATATCATTCTAACATACAAAGACTGTAAAATACTGCAAGTATTT